ATCTGACCCTGGTGTGCCCGTTTCCTCCTGTCACTCTTCGCCAACCTCCCCCCCCCCCCCCCCACTCCCACCCCCAGACACCTCCTCAGTTCTCTACAGTTTGGACAGGACAGGGCAGGACACCTGCTTGGACCTCTGGGACATGGACAGGTCCAAACATCATAAACCAGTGCTACGACGACAAGCGTCTTCAGAGTGTGGCATTCAAGGACCTTCAGGAACGAAAAAGATCGAAGCCAGTCATGATTGGACGGCCACAGGTCAGTGTGTCCACGGGGACGACGCTGCTTAAAAAAAAAAAGAAAAAAGGAAGAGGATCAAAATCAAGGGCTGTATTTGGAAACAGCTGCTGTGCATCAATGCAGCGAGCTGTAGGTGGCTCCACTGTGGCAGGAGCTCCCTGCTGGGAGCAAAGATGTGCTGCAACAAAAGCAGGAGCCGCACAGGAGGAGGTGATGGACCAGGAGCATTTCGCTGGACAGGAGGCTGAGGGATGAGATTCATTAGAGGGGGAGAGGAGGGAGGAGAGGAGAGGGACATGGATGTGTTGGAAGATGGAGAAAAAAAAATTAATGAAACTGTCTGAAATCCAGCAATATTTCCATGACATGTGTAAGTCAAAAAGTTTCAAGACAGATGTTGATACTTAAAAAAATATCTAATTTTACTACATTTTTTCATGGCACATTTTTCTGACTTTTTTATTTTTGAATCTTTGTCAAGTGTTGAGCTGTAATTTATTATTTTTTTCAATTCCCAAAAAATGAAAAATTTGGAAATCATTACAGACGTCAATATTTCTTTTAACCAAAATTGGATGAAAACCTACTGCAATTACTGAAGCGACAAAGAAGAGATTTCTCTGATGGACTCATCACACACAAGAGTTTGGAGCAGAATGGAGGACATTTAGAAAAATCTTCTTGTTATTTCAATCACCCTCAAACAAACTGATTTAAATAAAAGAAATTTTAAATCAAGGTTTTATATTTACACTTGGCCAACCTTCGACGTTTTTTTTTTTACTTCACTCCAGGCTAACTTTCAGATCTTATTGATTATGCTCCTGGCTAACATTTTAAATAAACGTTGCTCCTGGCCAGGCTTTAGCTATTTTTGCTTTGTTCCTGGCTAACCTTTAGTTTAAAATATATTTGCCTGTGGCTAACCGTTAGCTTTTTTCAAATTTTTGGTACTACTAACCTTAAGTATTTTTCTTTTTACTTTGCTCCTGGCTAACCTTTAACTACTCTTCATCTTTGCCATTAGCGTTTTGTAAAAACTTTGCTCTTGGCTAACCTTTAGCTATTTTTAAACATTACTCCCAGCTAACCTTTAGCTATTTTTCTAATTTGTAAGCTTATTTATAGTAACATAACAATAAACTAACTTGGATGACGAGGTGTTCTTTAGCTGTACTTGACCCAACGTTCTTATTTATTCAAATGTTAAGAAAAAATACAATTGTGTTGATGACAAAAACATGTCATAAATGCTATCGATGCTACGCTGGACAAACACCATGAAGAACGATTAAAAGTAGGGACGTACGATAAGTTTTTTTCTCATATGCGGATATTGTCCAAACACTAAATTTCAGATATCAACTGGTACTGATAGTCAACTGGTACTGATAGTCGTAGTCGTCAAATCACCTACTTTTACTATGATGCTCCACTAGGGGCATTCTACAAATTAACATTGTCTGTACAAAACACATTTTTGAAGCGATTCCAGGACATCTGACAAATCCCAGACATTGCATAATTACCAATATTACATAATTACACTAACATCTGTCGGCCGATATTATTGGACATCGCTAATTAAAAACAACAATCAAATTTTCTGCTGCAGACGATATTTCAATCATTAGAAACGTGTGGTAATAGTATAAAAACCAGAAGAGCAGCTTGCGGACAATTTATTTGAATTTGAGAACTGGCAGTAGACTATAGAAAATATAACTTCTGCTTAGAAAACATAAACACAGTTGGCCTGTATAGAGATCTCGGACGTGTCATCTGTCGGTGTATGTTGATATAAATATACATACATTAACACAAGAGCTGTTTTCAGCTCCAAAGAATGAAGAATATTCAACACTTGATGATCAGACTACAGGACATTCAGAGGTTGGAACAGAAAAGTCAGCTTAACAGTAGACAACAAAGGTAGTCTGATGATGTTTTTTTAATACATGGTTAACTGTACACTTAAGGAAAAAAAACAAAAACACCATAGTTAGACATTTTTTTTCCAAATTATATCCCTTTTCATTAAGAAACAATGTTAATACCAGAATCATTTTTTCCTCCATAAACGATGCATCATTTATATTAGGTTCACACAAACAAATAAAAAAATTAATTAAAACGTTATTAGCATTGGACTGAAGACGACGACCCAGCAGGGGGCGCCGGTGAACTGGGAGGTACCAAATAAGAGTTTTTTTGATCATAATACTTAAAACGTAAAAAAAAAAAAACACGACATGTTAATTATCACACAGGCAGAAGAACGTCGGCTTAGCAGTCTTGAATAGTTTGGTTACAACAAACAGACATGCACGAAAAAAAAGAAGAAGAAATTCTACCACGTCTCATTTGTCTTCATAACAAGATGCAACATCAAATTTCAAGTGACACATTCACAATCTTACTTTTTTTTTTTACTCAACATTTTCAGTATGAAAAACAGAAAAAGGAGGGACAAGTTTCCTGCAACGCTGAAGCACAGGAAAAAAAAAAGTTTTATATATTTATATGTATATATATATATGAAACATATATATATTTAAATTAACAGTCAAATATGAGCATATATATACAGAGTTTTACAAGGTAGTAAAGGCAACAAAGCTATTTGCAACATCCCCCTAAATCTTATGAAATCACTGTAATAAATTATCCATGACATTTTCATTTGAAAAAAAAAATAGAAAGAAAAACATCTTAAAACTACAAGTTAAAAGTCTGTCAAAAATATTAGAGAACCCATCTTTGTTTCAAAAGGGAAATAAGATATTGCACCTTTGTTTTTGTTTTTTTAAACCAGAATACAATAAAAATGACAATGAAAAACAGCTTACAATGCACAACAGGAATTAAGTTAGAACTATTGCCACTGGCTGACATTAATCCTCGTTTATTTTTCTTAAACCATGTAACAAAAATACATCTGCTGTAACAAAACATCACAGTTTCATTTCACTGAATTATGTAAAAAGGAAGGAAAACATCTGAACACGCTCTTTAAACATCTGCTGACATCGGACAATAACGCTATTCAAGACTGCTAAGCACAGAATCACGTTTTCATTTCAACACACACACACAAAAAAAAAATCAAATCAAATAAAAACAGAGAAAAAAAACATTAGATCATATTGCCGTTTTGAAATGTTACAACTCGTGGGTTCATTTTGGCGTTACAATCTCAGAGTCAGAGACAGGAAAAAGTAGACGAAACAAACAAAAAAAATTAAACGCAGTTCGCTCTCAAGTCCAAACAAATAAAACAAAGGGATCCCAGATATATACGGTCTATTCAAAATAACAGTGTATACATAAGCATTTAGTAACAAATAAATGTTCCTGATTTTTTTTTTTAGAAATATTACTTTATCATAGAAGTCATTCTACAGCTAGTGTTTCTCACTAAGAAAATAAGTCTTCAAGGCTTTGCAAATGTTAAAACTCCTTCTCTTACCAAAGGGTTTTTCATCCTTTCAGTGATTCAAGTCTCTGACGGGTCGACGACGATGACGGGGTCTCTAATGATCCTGTGGAACAGAATCACTTTATTGGTCACTTCTTATATTGATCACAGCAATTGATCCCAACCTTTTTTTGAGCAATATATAAATAATTTATATCATATCTTCAGGAAACACCAGGAAACACCCCACAACACACCACCAAACAGAAATCTTACAAAAGTACATCTAATGAAATATAATAATCTTCCAGTTTAAATGACCTGATGATTGACAAAAATCTCAGCCTGTTTAGTTGAAAACAATGCTGATATACTGGCAGGAGTTGAAGAAAGACACTTCTTCAACAGCTCTGATTATCTTTCTTTTTTTTAGTTTTCATAGGATCAACTGTAACAACATTAATTTACTCTTTGTGATTCTGAACAAAGTCTCAACTTTGTTGTGGTGGAATAGTGGGAAACAAAAAAAATATACATATATATACACATATATATACATATATACACACACACACACACACACACGGACACTAGACCCGACCGCCCCCTGGTTAACTCTGGTTAACCCTGGTTAACTCTGGTTAACCCTGGTTAACTCTGGTTAACTCTGGTTAACCCTGGTTAACTCTGGTTACTCTCTACCCTCAGACTCTTCTCACCTGAAGGCCTGGAGCTTGTGTCTGCTGCGCTCCCTGGTTGAAGTAACCCACGGGCAGTCTGTAGAAGTCGAACCAGGCGTTGTAGTCAGGGTTAGAGTTCTGCTGGGACCCAGGACCGGCTGTCTGACCTGAAGGAGAAGAGAACGTTTAAAAAAATAAAAAAAATAAAAAAAAAATAAAAAAAAAGGGAAAACCTGTGAAAAAAAAAAAAAAAAAAAAGGGGAAAACCTGTGAATCATTCTGGTGGTAGACGAAAGCAGAAGAAGGACTCACCCCAGGCCTTGTTGTACTCAGGAGTGGTGCTCTGGCCTTGGTTCTGCTGACCTGAAAAAAAAAAAGAATTTGAAGTATTTCAATACATATGAGAAGATTTTGATATTTAAAAACATAAAATAATAATTTCTGACTCCTGTCGTTTGTATTGTGTTCACTCTGTTTCATCTTCCATGAACTCCCTCATCATTTCATCGTTATGTTGTGAGACAAAGTAAAGTAGAAGCTGAACTCTTTAAGGGGGGGGGGGACCCTTTCCACTTTGAGTGACACTTGCCTAGCTTTTTATAATACTGCTCCCAGTCCATCTGGCCCGTCTGGGAACCATTGTGACCTGAAACCAGACACAGACCAGAGTTACTGACAGCCCGACTTACAGTTTTTCCTTCCTTTTTCACTTTCCTTCCCACTTATTTAATGATTTCCATCGACAGCACATTTTCAAAAATCGGTGCCTACAGGAAGGAGGAGGTTAGCCGCAGGAAATGAGATAAGCCTCATCACGGTATGGGCTCCAGACTTTAGATCGGTTTCTCTGAGCATACGGATGATTGAAGCGACAAATATATAAAAAAAGAAAAAAAAGAAAATCTGAAGCGTTTCATCTGCGATCGTAACTAAAACCTCCAACAATGAAGAACGGGCGTTGAGTTTATGGAGTTTTTCAAGTTCCTGCTCTGACTTACTGTGGTCCTGTTGGCCTTGAGGTTGCCAGATCTGAAAGGTTGTTCCCCACCCTCCTCCTCCTCCACCTCCACCTCCTCCTCCTGCTGCTGCTCCTCCTGTCATGAACGTCTGTGGCCCACTGATTAAACAGAAAAATCAGGAAATGACATGAACAGTGAGAGACGGAGGGAAATGTCAGAGAATTTGAGAGGGAGGGAGGGGAGAGAGGGAGGGAGATAGAGAGACTCTGGTCTTACTGTTGAGGTGGAGTGGCTGCTCCGTGGTTGTAGGGACTCATCCCGAAGCTGCTGCTGTTGCTCATTCCTGGGCCCTGGAAGCAAAGAAAAGGGGAAGAGGAGGAGGCGATGAGAGAAAGAGAGAGACTCCACTTGTGTTTGAAGGGAGCCAACAGGCAAGGTCAGAGGGCAGGGCTGGCTGCTGATGCACTCCATTAAGTCCATTTGATGGATTCTTTATGTTTAACCTCTGCTGACATCCTGCTGGCCACCAGGAGCACAGCCGACCGGGCTCCTCGCATTGACATGTGCGCTCATGAATATCAGGCCAGACAAAAGCGGGCTGGAAGAGGGGGGTAAGGGTGGGGGTGGAGGGGGAGAAGTTACAGACGGGAACAGGGTCGGACCACCTACCCCAATTCTCTCATCGATCAGCTGTCTGGCCTTCTCCAGCTGCTGAGGGGTACCGCGGATGGAGAAGATGCGCACGTTGGGGTCGGTGTTGGGCGGCGGGTTTCTCTGCAGCTCCACGTGGGCACGAGACTGCTCTTTGATGTTCTTGATGGTTTCTCCGCCTGCAGAAGAACCAGGAAGACCAAGGGTTTAATACACCAACACACAGACGACAGGAAACTGACACAGAGAAAACGTTCGACCGCTACAGCAGACGCTCGGTTGGTGTTTCTAAACCGATGGTCAGTGACCAGGATTAACCCTGGAGACTGGGTTGCTGCAGGTCTTGAGTGATCTGTTTTAGACTGTTTTAATCACATCTTAGTGTCGACCAACCAACAGGGATCCTGTAATACAGGAAAGTGAAGAAAAAAAAAAATCACTAAAGACAGCCCGATACATCTGGGGGAAAAAATAAATAAATTAAAATTCCATTTTTGCTTTGTTACCATCCCCTTTAAAACATTGGTCAGTTAAAACAAAACATGATTTTATGAAGTGAGACTTCTGGTCCATAGATGGCACCACATATGTAGGTGGGACAAGTACAGTATTTTCTGGACTATAAGTCGCACTTTTATTTATTTTTTTCTCATCCTATGGCTGGGTTTGTGACTTATACTCAGGTGTGACTTATGTAGCAAAATATATAATTTCATGTTTGTATTTTTTAGCTGGTGTGACACATAGTCCAGAAAATATGCTAACTGAAATGCTTTTAAAGACATTCCAAGAGAGTAGACTTCACACCTTTGACTTGGACTGGGACTGAAGTTTCAACTGTGATGTCGCCTTCACAACTGCCCTCAGATCTGATCTCAGATGAACTTTAAGATTAAAGTTCATCTGCGATCTTCTAAAAATTTTGTTATAAATCAAGGAAAAAAGGAAAGAAACAATGGCTTCAACAGTGACAATAGGTAATGTTAGCTTCTGTACCTGTCGTCAGTGTTAGGTTTAATTATGATACTTCATAAAAAAAAGCTTTTACCAAACAAAAAGAAACTTGTTTTTTTTACTTAAGGTAATCAACGCCTGTATCCACCAATCATGTTCACACTATGACCCCGAACCACTGCTTTATCACCGATGTCCCCGACAAGGATTCAACATGCCGTCTACATCACTGAAGTTAGACACAAATACCAAAACACAAAACTAAACCTGTTTCAAACACTTTTCTTCTTCTGACCTGGAACAGATCAGTTCTAGATTTTGTACCCGAGTCCAGGTGTGGACCACACATATCTCCAGCACCAGGTCGAGCCGCTGAGCTACAGTGATGTGACGTAGTAGTGGTACCTTAGAGGACTCTGGCATGTGTCCCACCACTTATCTACCATTCTGTAGTAACATCCATGCAAATCGGTAAACAAAAGGAGACATCCCCGGCACATCGCCACCCCCCACCTCTCTGCGTCAGATGCCAGCTCCACGACGTGTGGGGAGAGCAATTACACCAGCAGGGAGAAGTGAAACGGAGCCGGAGAGAGAGAAAAGAGCCCAAAATTGAAGCGTATCCTCCTCCTGGGATCACATTTGTCTTTTTTTTTTTTTTTTAGTCTTTCCATTCTTGACTCTGTGTCGTCCTCTGTGATGAGGAGAGGGAGTGTACGGGGCCATGCCACAAAAAAAAAAAAAAAAAAAAAATTAAATAAAAAAGGCTGAGAGGGTGCTTCCCGTGGGGGACACCGGGGCTGTCCCAACATCAATTACACATTTGTTCACTTGTGGCTGACACTCGGACGACCCCGGCTGACCTTCCAATGAAAACGCTCATCAAAAACCTCTCCTCCTCCCGCGGTCTATTCCTTGCTGCCAACAGACTGCACATGGGCCATTAAGCCATTGTCAACCAAATGAAACTTCTGCCTTAATGAAGCCATTATGAGCTCTTCCAGTCAGACGGCAGAGAGCAATGAAGACCCCGACTATTCACTTCATGGACTGAGCTGTAGTCAGGACAGATAATACAGGCCTTATTAATGAGACTGGTTTACTGAGCCTGTGGAAGAGGGGAGGTGAAGGCGGGTCGGGGGGGTAAAGGAGGAGATACAAAAGTGCAACTGGTGCAACTGGCCACGGAGCTGGTTAGCTGGTGGTGAGGAGGAGAAGAGTCACTCCCAAAGGGGGAAAAGGAACCAGAGGTTGATATTAAATCAAAGAGTTAAAGACGCAGACGAAATGTGGAGTATAAAAGATCAAGAATGAAGGAAATAAAAAGGGAAATTAACCAGTGGACGTTCAAGGATTTCATTCCCTCCAACTTTAGGTTCAGTTAGTTCTCAAATTAGTATCTAATTATTAGCTAATTTATCAATTCATCTTAAAAAAAGTACGCCTGGCTCATGTTTTTGTCAACTCAGGATTGGGAAATAATTACTTTCACTTTTCTACAGTGTTTGATTTAGCAGAAAATTGTTATTTTTAATAGTTTTTCTCCATCACTTGGTGCATTAAGAACACATTCTGTCTCCAGCTTTTATAATGATGACAGTAGTTAATTATATTGTGTACACATGCAAAAGACTAAATGATTACTTTTGAGACTTTTTTTTTCCTGACATAAAAAAAAACTCAGAAAATCATATTCATCCACACATGCAAAAGACTAAATGATTACTTTTGAGACTTTTTTTTTCCTGACATAAAAAAAAACTCAGAAAATCATATTCATCCACTAAAATAAATTCCCACAGAAAACTGACCAATATTGTACCATCTCTGATCTACTTAAAAAAAAACACAAATTTGAAGAAACATTTAAAAAAAGCATGTGTGAAGTCACAGAGCGCTTGTTAAAGCAGGTCGGTGGGTGGCTTGACTGGTGGCCGAGTGTGCGCTGGGGGTCAAAAACGGCGGGGCAATGGGCTACATATGGCATCGTAAAGATATTAATCACTGCATCCTTTAAGGGGCGGCTGACAGGCCCCAGACCCACCGCCATCTCCACCATATTGGCCTGCTTCATATGCTAATGCGCAGAGAGGGGGACGCAACGCCCAGGTTTATTTGTTTCCCTCGGCCCACTACATGCACAAAAGCCCCTTGACATTTCTATTGCCATGTTTTTATCTTAGGTAAAGAGGCCCCCCCCCCCCGACCCCCCCCCCCCCCACCGACACACACATAGGAAAAAAAAAAAAAAAATGCATGCATGCACACATACTCCACACCCACACACACACACACTCACACTCTCGCACCTCTTTCCATTGCAATGGTCAATGACTTTTAAATAGCTGGCAATAGAGTGGGCATGAATAGCCAATAAGCTAATTCCTCCTATTCATTCCCGTGCTGCACTCTATTGGGCTGAAAGGCCCTCATTAGATGCTAGGCAGCCTTCCACATGATTGAGGGCTGTTATTATGCACCTTTAACAATTAATGTCACATTACACGCATTATCCCCATCATTAAGCCCTTAGTGAAGCCAATGAATGCCACTTGTGCTGTATACATGAGCCCCGAAGGGAGCCTAGGAGGGTGGTCACACACACACACACCCCCTCCTTTTCCTCCCCCTTCTCCTCATCAGTTTCACGTAGTGGCAGAAGACCAAACGGCCGGCGTCGGGGTTATAAAAGGAGAGAAGAAAAAAAAAAAAAGGACAATCTGGCGATGTTGGATAAACGGTTATTAAGAGCGTTTGTATCAATAGACGAGGATTCAAACTACAGACCACATGAGAGAGAAAGTTTAAATCAATAATAAAGTATATTAAAAAAAAGGATTTCTTAGAATATTCACATAAAGCCAAACTACTTCCTGTAAAGCAAACAGAGTCATTCCGTACCTTTGCCGATCACCAGGCCACACTTGTCAGCAGGTACGGCGTAGGTCACCTCCTGCAGCCCTCCCATGCCTCCCATGTTACTGTCGCCTCGCCCTCGACGTCCCACCACTCCCCCAAATCCATCACGCTCCTGCAGGGGAGGGAATCAGAAGGAAATGACAATGTTTGACATGTCTCTTTGTTATAAACAAACTTAAATACTTAATATTTTCATATGAATCTTAGCAACAAAATACCTTGGTTTTTATCCTAATATAATGATAATAATAATAAACTAAAAAGCATAACGATGAGGAGTACTGCATGAAGTAATGCTCCAGCAGTTCATCTTTTATTACAGGGTCGTGCCATTGTTTTAATGTTGGATTATATTTTAATTATCAAACAACTGTCAGGTTATTAAAACGACTAAAGTTTTACTGTAGTTCAATCAGTGGATTTATTTTCATCCTGGCCCTGAGCACATTTTTGTGAAGTATACTTGACAGTATAAGTGTTCCAGTTTTTTTGTGGTAAACCTGTTGTGTGTGATTAGGTAGTCAGTGATTTGTTAAGGCAGATTTTTTTTTAAATCCACCGATGGGTTATTCACTGACATTTTATCAATTAATTTTAGAGAATTATTTAAAAAAAAAAAAAAAAAATTTTTTTAGCTTTGTGCCCCTGAAGCTTTCAGTGGTGCGACTGCCTCCCTGTGGCCAGGAAACGAGCCCTCTGACCTGGCTGAACCCCACTGATCCACAGAGCCCCTGAAGTTTTCTTTTTTTTTTTTTTTAATCTTTCTGAGCTTAATGAGCTTTTGGTTCTCTTGAACTTCAGGTAAAGGAGCTCAGATGTTCGCTTATTCTCACCTAATCTAATCTAATTTCTTTAACTGACAACTAAAGATCAACAGTCTAAATCACCGCAGCATTGTTGACGGATCATCAAATTTTCCAAATCAAACCTCTTTTAGACTTTCTTCTATTAGTATCACAGTCTGAATGACCTTTGACCTGTTGTTTTAAAATGTAGTCCGATTTTTTATAGTAAAGGGATATGATTGAATTATTTTTGGAATGAAGAAAATTAGTAAATCTGAAGTACATTTTTTTCCACTGTGTCCCGGTACCAAATGACCTAAGGACCGGCATTGGTCCCTGAACCAGAGATTGGGGGTCCCTAATCTAAACACTCCAGAAGCAACAGCAAACAAATCCAAGGCAGCAGCAACGACAGGTACTTTCCAAATGAGAGCATTTGTTGCCAACCTTTCATTAGGGTTAATGACACACTGCAAGTGTCTTTGAATAAATAAAATCTGCGATGATACAGATTTTTTCCTGATATATTGACATTAGATACACAGACAAAGATTCAGACACTAATCCTGTGTGAAACACGACTGTATCAAATATGGCAACACTACATACTTAAGACCAGGAAACTGAAGAAATTGAAAAATATATATATAATTTTTTTGACTACATACCTGAGCGGTTTGGACCAGTTCGTTGATGAGGTGAATGGCGTGGTGGCAGTTATCAGCCTGGCCCATCACCTGAGCAACACGGTCAGGACTGACGCCATCATCTGGTCAAACACAAAAGCACAGTCTTTATGGTATGTAATGAAAGTTAACTTCTGTTGAAGTTGGTTTTGGAACAGTTACATGAACCATCCGTGTCTTTAGAAAACAGTGATTTTTATTTTGTTTGCCACAGTAAATGTAACTGCTTGAGTTCGCTGACGGCTCTATTACAAAAGTTTTTTAAAAAACCCGAGATTTTCTCCAGACCTTGTTTGAACTGGATCCTGACCCCGGCGTCATTCTGGATCTTCTTGATCATTTCTCCATTTCTGCCAATGATGATGCCGACAGCAAACCTGGGCACAACCACCTGAAAACAAAGACCAAAACATAAAACAAAATTAAATTATAAATCCTATAAGTGGACAAAGTTTGGGAAAAAAAAGAAGAAAAAAGCAGAGATTTCAGGTCTTACATCCAGACTGCTTCCCCCCATCTTGGGTCCAAAGTCTGCTCTGCCGGATCTGAAGTCACCCTGGTCCTTCTCCCGGATGAGCTTCACCACCAGTTCACGAGCTTGCTACAAAAAAATAAAACAAAATAAAAAAATTAAATTCTATATTATCATGAGATGCAAATTTGAAACAATAATAAAAAAAATTTTTTTGGAGGTGTAAAAGTGAGTGAAAGTGCAGCAGCATCAGACCATGTTTGGGTTTCTAATGGACGGACCTGTACTTTGTGTGGATCCCCGGTGATTCTGAGAGGTTTGTCTGCCCCGGTGGGCATGGGGTCATCCTGAATCATAATCATCTGGACTCCTGTTCTCTCCTGTGGGGGAACGATCACAGGCAGAAACAAGAATGAACTCCAGCTCAACAACAACGTTCACTGAGAACGGAGCAGATTAAGTCTCATCGCAACAGGTATCATTTTTTTTTTTTTTTTTAAATCACTGAAGGACCATGACCCTTTAAATTATTATTATTAATTAATTAATTATATTATTATTATTATTATTATATTATTATATAATTAATTATTTATAATTCATTGCCGTCTTTATACAAAACTGAGAAGGATAAGCAGCATGTGGGTATTTTCACACTCAAAAGTTGTTATTATAGAACTACTGTATATACACAACTGTAGAAGAATGAAGGCAGTACACAGAGACACACAGCTGAGCTGCCTGCTTTAATCATTAACGTTGTTCAGCCTCAACTTCTACCAGACCTGCAGCTGTTTGATGGTCTCTCCTCCTTTGCCGATGACCAGGCCGACTTTGTTGGCGGGGATGAGGATCTGCTGGATGGAGCTGTTACCGTCCATGTCACTGTGGAAGCCCGGACCGTAGCGACACTGCTCCACTATCTCGTTCAGCAGCCTCTTAGCCTGACTGTGTGGGTGGAGCAGACACAGCAACGAACAACGTTTATCACAGCGGCCGCAGATTGAAAAACTCCAAACTGCCCTGGGTCACGTTTGTCTTTGTCAGTCGCTGATAGGTGTTCAGGTGATTAAAGAGCAAAAGTGAAAAGGAGAGTTTTGGGTTCGTGCCCTCATCGTCTCAACAATGGCACACACTTTCTTCACGCGGCGTGCCGTTCCAGTAAATCAGTTACAATGGAGAGATTGTTAGTCAGCAGCGGTTAATGATAACGGCAGACGTTACATCTGTCTCATCAGGCACACAAAGACTGACGGGATCCTGGAGAATCAGCCGCGCTTGTTCTCCTGACTCTGAGCTGCCGTCAGTAAATACATAGTTTCTATTCATATGCCGTGACATATGCGACTTGTGTTGTACACACTTGAAATACACACTAAATCTCCCTTTCATCTTTGAATATGTATCATCACTGTTTAAATCAAGGGTGTCAAACATACAGCATGTGGGCCAAAACTTGCCCGCTAGGGGGGTTCAATCGGGCCAGATAGATGAATTTTGAAAAGTGAAAAAATCTTGTCACATTATATTTCCTTTAAATACGATTATTTTTCTAATATACTTGTAATTAAGTGCAGGAGAACAAGAGGGGAATAAACATGTACTTGTTGTTATTTAAGGTAAATATGTTAGGAATGTACTGGTCCGGCCCACACAGATAATTAGACCGTAAACCAGAGTCAGTTTGATCAAATTATTAAAGCTGAGACTTACTCGATGTTCTCCGGGCTGCCAGTCAGTGTGCAGGGTCTGTCCAACATACCTCCACTGTCTGAGGCCATGGGGAAAGAAGACAAAGTGTTATTTTATTTTAGACTATATGGATATATATTTTTATGTGACTTGAGCATTGATTGATGTTAGTGATATATTTACATTGTCAGCAAATGCAGGAAAATGATATATATATATATATATATATATATATATAAAAAACATTATTTTTTACTTTATAAACTCCTTACATCTGGCTTAGGTTAAGAAAATATTCAAAAGTTGTTGTGTTATGATGATTTGAGTCACAGTCAGCAGTAGATTCTTATCATCCTACCTGAAGCGATTTGGATCTTACAGCCCGACTCCAACTGAATTCTTGAAATCTGCTCTCCACCTTTTCCTATGACTTTAAGAAGAAAAAACAAGTTTCACAAAAAAAAAAAAAAAAAAAAAAAAGACCAGGTCAACAGAGACTGACATCAGAGCTGATGATCACAGCTCAACATGGCAGCAGACTATGATGAACTCAGTCGTTACTTACTGAAGCCCACCATCTTATCAGGCACTTTGAAATCTTCTGTGGTAAAAGCCCTGGGAGGTGAAAAAAAGAATTAATATCTGATTGTCAAGAAAAACAGAAACTCTAAAAATTATAAGTTTAAATATTTTTCATTTACACATCATAGATAATTACACTTATTGAAAAAATAAAGTTTAGCCTTGTTTTGTTTTTACAGAATTTTTTGGAAAGTTTTTGGAATTGCATATTTTAAAATAAACGTTTTTCCCCCACATGATTACATGATTCTCTGTAGGTCTATTTTAAACATTGCTATCATGATATAATTAAGATAGTAATTATATTTATTTAATCCATGTTATTTATAATCTTCAATATGAATATAAATAACAAATGAATTAAATACCAGTACATGTAGCAGCACCGCTCACCTTTGATGTACCATTGCTCCGAGGTGGTTTCCCACTGAGGGAAAAGAATAAAACAAACCAATTAGCAACGATCAAAATATGATGTTTTAAACACGTGTTAAAACGACAGTTAATGACGCGGCAAAATGAGAGCAAATCAGTCGCCACTGGAGGTGACGGAGGCAGATGGACGTGGTCAGGCCAATCCTCTGTGTTCATCTCTGACCCACAGCAGGGTGGGC